TTCTGACATAAGTAGGCGGAGTTACTCTAATGGGCGGCGCTGTCCAAATCATAAAACGATCCATGCTCTCAACTATTTGCTTACATGCTTATGGAGTGTGAGGAGTAAGGGGTTTGCGACACCGCCCAAAAGTAAAAACAGTCACCTGTATAATCAGAATACTCATGAAGAAGATCAAAAATACCAGTCCAAGAGGTTCAAGTTGTAGTCGAGTGACCACCCATATCTCCTGGAAAAAAGGAACGAAGTATACTTTAAAAGTAGTAAATGGGAAAAGGGAGCTTACCTCTTTCGTATCTCCGTGACATGGTCGCACTGTATGATTGTACTTGGGACCAATGGGCCATTCGATATGAAGGCAGTCTTTTTGCAATTGCAGCACAAGAATGATGATAATGAACACGACGTTGACCATGAAGAAGGTGGAGACAACCTAAAGAATTTTAGATCAGGATAAGGAAAAGTGATGTGAAGGAAGGAGTAGGGGAGTATTTGCCGCGATTACCTTGTTCCTAAGCTCAATCAAGGCGGCTCGAACTCTCTCCTGTTCCTTAGGGTCTAAAGTCAATGGCGAAAGGTATTTATCAATGACGTCCATCCAAAAATGCTCCTCATCCGGATCGATATTTTCCAGTTCGGCTCTGAATTTGGATGATTCTTCTTGAACATTGAAATCTATAAGAGCACCAACCTTCGTAGCGCTTTGTCATCCAACCATGAAAATCTTGGCCTAGTCAATCGTGTATGCGTAACCGGGCTCTGCGTCGGTTCGTCTGATTGCTCCTGAACATTAGTAACTGAAGTGCCGTATTTTTCAAAAAGCTAGCTTATTACTATTTTCACATACCTGATCTTCCTCCTCCACTTCTGCATGTTTGTGCTCGGCTGGAGTGTTGCCAGTGGAGATGATGGATGCTCTGCAAAAGATAATTACGGTGGTCATACTGTAGGAGCACGCTGCTACTTACAATGAAGTCCTTCTCCCAAAGATTCTTTGTGACCGATCTGTTTAGAAATTTGCAAATAGCTTATGTTTTTTGTAACTTTACTGAACTATTATTGCAATGCT